CCCTAACCCTATACTTTATGATCTTTTTTATAATGTACATATAATTTGAAGACTTTACCGGTAGCTATTTTCATTCTAAACTTACCAATGGTGGCGCAGTTGTTCACCCAGTATGGAATAAAGGAATGCCTTCTGTAAAAAACTGGCACAAAAGTTGTATTTTTTGTCACGTCCATTTTTAAAGCACTAGAATTAAGTGAGTTGTTATTGTAGGCTCATTCTCATCATTGACATACCAGGGTGAGAGTTGTGAATGAGAAGTTCACTTTGTTACAGTACCAACCGAGATCAGACTAGATATCAACTATGATTTTGAATGTTTTGAAATGAATAATTATGATTTAAAATCTTTCTCTGTAGCCTGCTCATTAAAAACGTTAAATTTGAATAGAAAATTACCTACAGTCGATAAAAATAGAATCTATATCCTAGAAAATTGGCTACAGCTTATAAAGATAGAATGTCTATTCTAGAATCCTTAAGACACTGCTAAATACAGTACCAATGAATTCATTGAAAATACTAGCTAAAACAGCTGATTTGTCACTGTGAATTGGAGCACAAAAATTTACAAAAATCTAGAATAGCTGGATCTCATTTTATCAACCATGGCGAGAAAATTCAAATTGTGTATTTTTCATCACGGGTAACTGTTTTAATCACTAACTGTATAACTGAATTGACACTACCAATGTATTAACTAAAGTAGTTTCCCTTTGACACAAAATAACATGGATCTATTCGAGAAAAAATGTAGGTTTCTGGCGTAATATGTATGTACCGGTAGTGTAAAAATTTACTAAAATTTCACTTGTTCAAATAAACAAAATGTAAATGCAGTATAGATAAAACTGTTTAGTTTAATTACAGGATGAAGCAAATAAATTTATTGCTTTTATGTGTTCTTTATTGCACTATTTTGAATCATCCAAAACTGTTTTGTTTTATCTACAAATCGTCGTCCTTCTTATCTTTTACTCAGCACTGGCGCCGCCGCGGCCGGCTGAAATTTTGTCGGTTTCCATCCAGCTGAGAACTTCCGGTAGAAATTTTCACCGTGGGAACATCAACTTCCTGTCCAGGATTCACTCAACATTCTGTATGAATGTTATGTATGCAGTTCCTGTACTATGTGATAAGAATATTTCGTTTAGTTGAACACATAGTATGCTACTACTGTTTTGTACAGTGCTGGTAGTCGTGTGATCCAAGCTTTGGCTGTGGTTGAAATGTCGATTGTCGAATAAATGTTACCGTACCTAAATGTAGCAAACCTGCAGACTTAAAGTGAATTAGGACCTACCATCTGTCAATAGTTTACATTGATTTCCTCAAGACATTTCCTTATAAGTGTTAGATTTACTCCCTTTACAGTATTTTAAGGGGAGTCTGTCCCTTTTACGCCCTAATGCTATTTAAATGGGAAGATATGCACCAATATAGGTACGCATTCCTCAGCAACCTATTAACCATTTAAAGTGAAATTTTTACTACATGATCTCTATGCCATAGGGTACCCGGCTTGCTAGTTAAAACTTAAATATATTCTTGTTTTTTATTTTTTATTTTTATAAATAAAATATGCAATTTTTTTACCTGATTTATTTTGTATGTTACCTTGGTAATGACTTAAACCAAATCATTTTAAACTAAAAGAGGTATCAAGCACTACTCACCATGATGTGAAGAAGATGTGTGTGAAGTTTCATATTGCTATCTCTTATAGTTTTTAAGTTATGCGTACCTAACTTTTAAAAAACACTATTTTCGGTAAAACGCCCTTGAAGTTCTAAAGGGCTTAGGTCGCGCATCCTAAGAACATTGAAAAATATCGTGCAGTACTATTTATTTGTTTTTTTTTAATAAAAAAACTTTTGCAAAATATGAAGTGTTATATATATAAATAAACACAAAGAATTGGAGAATTTTTTAAGATAAAAATAAAAAAAACCTTTTTTTTCACCAAAAAGGTACAGACTCCCCTTAATAATATTAGGTGAGTTCTTAGGTATGCTGATACAGGGAAGGTAACAAATGGTGTTTTTTTTTGTGAAATCTGAGTCCAAGTACAGGGTTCATAATTATTATTGTATATAATAAAACATATTTCCAATATTAGTACAGTAATATAACTCACTCAGTAAATTTCTCATCCTTAAAGGAACAGCTGGAGCCAATTTTATTGTCGGTTATGTCCGGTGCACTTCAGAGGTCATGTTTTGTTTACAATTGTTTTTTTTGTGTTCTCAGCCATTTAAATCCTCGTTTAACCAAATAAAACGATCTAATCATGAACATAAACTCATCTCCTAGTTGTAACTAAGCAGCAAAGTACAAATTATGCAACTTTAACTAACCATAAAATAATAGAAACAAAATTTCGTCGACAGCAATCAGTGTCACCGGACATGAACTAAATATGTCAAAAATTACAATGGGATGATAAGTCTACTTGTGTTAATTAGTCTATGTACAGAATCTGTTATGCAGTACGTTTGAGTGCGCTGATGTCGATTATTGTATGTTTCCCCTTGGCTTATTTTAGGATCAAAATGTGCTTTCACTTGTATTCTTTAATACTTTAGTATTATTACACAATTCATTTCAAAACATAATTCCAATATTCAGTCTATTTAAAAATACAAAAGTTGGTCTCACAGACCGGCGTCACCAGTTGAAGACACAGAATTACCTCACCACAGATACTCCTCAATATTCAAATCAAATCAAATCAAATCAAAATATCATTTATTTCGCAAAAAACAGACATAACATAATATTATGATCCCTGTACAAAAATATTTACAATATTATTTATTTTTCTAGGTTATATTTAATTTTCTATAAAAGCTTTTTAAAATCAAGCGAAATTATCCCCCACAAAGGATAATTTAATCCTGTGAGTGGGAGAGAGTCGTTATATTATTAGAGATTTTTTTTAAATTATGAAAAAAGGAAATCTGAACAAGTTAAAAGTTGAAAGTTGAAAGTTGCGCTGGAGGACTGAGCGAATGGTGCCCCCCACCTCCCCCCTACCCTACCCCCAAAAGATAACCTGCTACTGTATTTCCCAAGCACACCTATTGTCGTATGTCGTTAAAAATACTGATTATGTATCTCAAATAACAGTAAGTTCATTGAAAATTCAGTTCAAGATATCTTAAGGATATTGAAAAATATATTTTGAATGCAAGTCGGATGAAATTTTAAACGATTCGTACAAAACCAGATTATAAATCCTAACGATATGGATAAACCATCGATTACACCCAACCAGGATTTGGTTCATGGTTGGGGGAGGGGGGGGGGGTAAGGTTGCTGATATTTGCGAACCAGATCAGGTTTTTGTCTGCGAATCCAGCAACTTTCTACAGCAAGAAAGCGGCAATCACTCTCTCCCTTGTAAAAACCACTTACGAAACCTCCTGAACTGCTAGGCGCCGAGCCATGTACCATGTAACTGTCCAGAATAAATAGGTGAGGCATTGATTTTGTATACTGAACAAGTAGGCGCCACTACTTGGAAGGCCTTACACCAGATGTCAAGCAATACACTGTTGAATTCCGTTTCATGGTTTTAAATAACAAGAAAACATTTAAAATTTTCAAAACACCTGTACAGTAGAACAACAAACGGACACTACCTCAAAATTCAAATCGTCTATCGTCGCTAGCTTTTTTGATCTTTCAAAAGTCACTCCCTTATATACTTGAAATGTACTTTTGGATCAGCTGAAGACAATATTAACGTAAGTCCGGGATTTTTATGTAGTTTGGACACACTGTTGCTTGTCCGTATGCATCTAGCTTAATACCAAATTCAACCCTAAAATAAGAAAAAATATAGAAATCAGCACACTTCAAGGTCGCCTTGCAAAATCAGAGGGCTGATTTTATGAGTTATTACATGTTAATAACTCATAAAATCAGCCCTCTGATTTTGCAACTAAAAGGACGAGTTCCTACTAGGTATTTACTCTACTTGCACTTTTCAGTCGATGCTAAAAACGAGCAAGACTGCCAATGAATGAGTTACTACAGATTTTTAAAATTATTTTCAGTACTTGATATGGATTTTACACTAAAATACTACATTACATGCAGTGTTACCATAACAAATTTACTGGTCAAAAAAAGGTTTGTATGATTATGTTTGTGTTGATGTTTGTCAATATAATTATTAATTCAGTTGTAAGTGTTTATTATGTTTAACTGTAAACTTTTATTAAAATCATACTATTTAGGGTCCTTGGATTAAATTGAATACACTTGATATCAAGACACACTCCAATTGTGGGGCCATTGGGGACCCTCTTGTAATGAAAACCTTTATACAGAAATCTCAAGTGGGTCATATATATATCATAAGTCATATATATATTAAACCACTGGACTACAGTGCAACCAAGTGACCACAGAAATAAAATTCAATTAAAATTTTAATTCTGTGGTCACTGGTGCAACCTGTCTGATTGTACTCTCATTCTATTGTTAGACCTTCCTTCATCTCAGCAATAAAACATTTTTATTTTATTCCCTGTTCATATCACAGATTTACCATCACAGTACATTACTAGCGGTTACTATAGACCATTTCAAGAACTTGTGGAGAGGTATATTTAGATAAAATGCTCTAACCACATTCTAGATATGCAAGGTATTAATTTCTACATTCATTCAGAATAAACAAATAAACCAATTAACCAACTATTTAAGGATTGGTTTGATTATTCTTTGATCAATCTTATCAATAGATATATAGGCCTATCAACAAACAACTCAAAAGAATAAAAGATTCTGGCTCAGAAAGGCAAGTAAACCTCAAGTAGGCCAACTCAATATTGCAATCAGCATTGAAGCCCATTTTAAAATTCAATATTTGTCAAGAAATTGAACCCATTGGTGTATATGAAAAGGTAAACTCTTTCTTATAGGCCTATAGTTTTAAACAGTTTTATCAGCTTAACCACTAAAAAGGTGATCAATACAAAGACAAAGGATAGTTTTTGTTTTTGTTGTGTAATATTTTATAAATGTCTGGCTACAAAGGAACTTAACATAACATCAACATATCAATGATAACTTATGGGCTATTGTACATCATATTAGATATAATTATTAACACAGCTTCAAGTAAGTATAAAACTGAATAAGACAATATGTGCCTATGCCATTCCTATCCTAAAAAACAAAATGGGCGGACAATGTTAAACTTGATTTTTTCTTGGTCCTTAAAAAATTAACTCTTTTAAAACATTAAAAATTAAAAACATAAAAACTTATAAGTGATCTGTAGTTTAGTGCTGATTGTGTAAACATGTAAAACAATTATAAAAAGCTAGACAGGAAGGCACATACTGAGGCACTCATGTAAGCTTTGGAAGACAAATAAAAAATTTGATCAATAAAAAATAATTTTTAGCGCTGATCGATTTAAAAAAGTGACCTGACTATTTTCAGTTCCTAACACTAAATCCCTGTAGGCTCACCTAACCTAACTGTCAAATACTGTCTATCGATCCCTGGTCAGCATGGAAACACCTTGAACTCTGCTATGATAGGTAAAATGTTATACAAATTATAAAAACTCCGTAACAAAACTTACAATTTATCATCAACTACTACAAAAAAACATAACGAACAACATGAATAACAACCAAATACATTAATGCTACTTCCAGATAACTGAAAAATCCTGCGCAATGATTACAGTGAAAACAGAAAAGTACTTAATGGTAACCAAAAACAAAAAAATAACTCGATGTAATGAAAGAATAAAAAAGTACGAGTCCAACTCGAGACAAAAAATGTACAAGGCATGAAAGTATTGCCATTTAAAAATGTACAGACAAGTAACAAATTAGAAAATATAAACTTGTGTATTCAATGTATTGCTAAAAACTACAAAACTCAACCATCTACAGCTAGAGCGTAAGATACTTTATACAATAATATATAAACAACTAACCTATTGAACACTCACTTGCATTGCATTGTTTGACTTTAGAGGAGGTACAAATTAACCGGCTGAACCAAGAAATCTGACTATAAATAAATAGATTATGATAATATGCGTGGACTCTAGTCTAGGCTTTTGTACTTTAAAGATCTTTCTAGGAAATATAAATATGCTATATGTAGTTACGTTATTTGTGTAAACAATAAATAACATTTTATGAAAACTATTCAATATTGAAAGTCTACATCTACAGAATCTAGGGAGAGGGAGTTTGAAAACAGTCTTAATTTGGAAAACACAGTAAATCGACTACAATTGCACCAACATTTTCAAAATCACTGATGATTGTACTGATAAATATCGTTAATACAAAATAATCACATTAAAATAGAACCGTCTAAATGGTCTACATATATCTAACTGTAACAATACTTCTTTAAAACTCTTAAAGAAAACTGCGATAAACCAACTATAAAAGTACAAAAGTTACAAAAATGAACAATGATCTGATATCCGAAATGATCTACATTAAAATTACTCCAAATCAAAATTTGATTGAGCAAAACAGAAGAATCACAAAATGAAATCATCAGCCTTGACCGTTGCATTCTATTGTCTTTCCAGTTATACTTTGGCATATAGCATCGTTAGCAAGTAGATGTACATCTTAAACCTAAGCACAGCATTGTTGAAAAGCATAAGTTACAAAAAAGAACACTTACTAGCTCATATAAAAACTATATACAGCTATACAGTATGGCTTCAGCGGTTCTTGATGGTTGCTGCCGCTCTGGCCTTGCGAAGACTCGAGACCATTGCTCTCAATCTTTCTTGTTCCTTCCTGAGGGCCTGAACTTGCATGTACTTTGACTGACTCTCGGCGCTCAGCTCTTGACAGTAACTAGCTGCATCTCTCAGAATCACAACTTTGGCAGCTCTGTCCTTGCCAACCAAACTAGGAACCAATGTCTTCAACTCCTCAAAGCTGTTCCTCAAGTCTATCCTTCTCATCCTCTCCATGTTGTTGTGCAAGTCCCTTTTCTCCTGATCCTCTTCTTCGCCGAACCTCGGGTTCTTTTTTCTCCTGGTCGGAGTACTCTTCTGTCGCTTGGTCTGACGGGAGTACTTGTATACTGGCTCGTCATAGTCACTGTCAGAATCGCTGCTCTCGCTGATGTACTTCTTCCTCTTGTGTTGATGATGCTGACGCACTACTTGGTGTGACGCCTTCAGTTTCCTACTGACAGCCTCCGACGCAGACAGCAGCGACGTCGTGATCTCCTCTAGGTGTCGCTGGTCGCGGCGGGTCGGTCTATTTGGCAGATTCCCTCCGCAGGACGACGATCTACTCGAGGACGATGATGACCTCTCACTCAAGGACACCACGTCGATCTCTTCGTCTTCCTCTGCAAATAAAGAATGTTAATGTTAATAAGTTAACTATGTTAATAAGTTAATGTCACTATCAGTACCATACTCATACTAAACTATCTAGGCAATACATGTGGTAAGTACTTTGAGCGCACGTCTTTGATATACATAATCCCGGCTTCAAATCCTACCAATCACCAATCAATTCTATCAAGTGATGAAGCCGCAATCTCAAAACCTAGCCTGAAGTTGCAGTAGGAGCGCCACGACGGCAAGGGCGTGGTAGAGGGTCGATAAGCGTTATCAGAGGGTGGGGGAGGCGACGCATTCCGACGCTCTGCATCGTGGCGCAACTGTGGTACGACAGACGATATTGCGCCAAACCTACCCTACTCTGTGGTTTATAATATAAATAAAATACCTCAAACATAAAAAATCTATTTAAACATCGAATTTCAGTAAAAGATACAAGGTCCTGTGACATTTACAGGTGATTGTTAAAACATTTAAGAGCTGTATAGTATTTTTCTTCAATTTGCGTACTCGTTAATTTCTCGATAAAATGTGTAATTTAGTCAAAGAAAAAAAAACTACCCCAAAAAATCAAGCCAACTTTCCTTCGACTCCTTTCCCCGCAAAACTACGTCAAGTGAATGAGAAAAACTGCGATAAAAATAGCTAATTGAGAGGCTAGTCGCATTGCGTGCAGCATGAACGGATTGCCTGCTCTAGTACATGCAGTAGTACGCCGTGCCACGCTACACGCTATTGTATACAGCTATAGCCCAGCCAAGCTACGTCTACGTCAATGCTCAGACCTTGACCGCAGACATTATCGCTGAATTTTTATCAGAGGCGCCGTTTGGGGGCCGCGCCATTCAGCCTATTTTCGCTTTCGATAACCTGACACAGTATATGCGAAGGTTATTTAAACGTGATAAAGTATAGTATGCTATTTGGTTTAAAATTAACATCTAGTGCACGGTAGTGATACTAGCAGTAAAATTATACATCGAAGTAGGTGGTTCAGAATAGTTTTCCCTAGCACATCTCGGTCCCCAAGTGTTACAAACAAGTAAAGTAAAAATATGTATTTCGTTAAGGAATTAGCGATACTAAAACGGCATAAAATTTACTGTAACCTAATCAATTAGCGGATAAATGTTTTTGTAAAAGAATTACCAATAAAAATGTCCACATGATTAGTTCAAAAATACTCCACAAGATAAAGTCCCTACCGTAAAAAAACTCAAGAAAAAAATCAAAATATTTTAAATTAACAAAAGAAGAAACAAAGTAATTAAAAACCACAACGTAAATACAAGAATCACGAGTTAACACGATCGAGAAAAACTTTAAATGAATGACATATATTAGCGCGCGAAAACCCGCTTACGATGTATCAGCCGACGTAAATGTTTGTGTTGAAAACAAAAATAGATCTCGATTGTCAAAAACATTATCCATTCAAAAAATGTCAAACCTATAATTTCCACAAAACATTTCCAAGATAACGAAACTAAGCATATGAGAGATTCCCCCACATGTAAAAACGCCTAACGTCCTGTTAACGACTGTAAGGTGAATGGGCACGTGTGAAGACACGCCTAAGTTCAAGGACGGGTTGTCGACCTCGGTGTACTACGGCGTCCATTGCGCAGGACCAGTCGATAAGGGCAGACGTGACGTCAGGGAACCGCCCTAGCGCCCTTACCTCCCCCTACACAGCCACCGCTACGTCACCTTCCCTAGTGTTGCGCAATCAGCAATACTACCCGGCCACTACATACAGGGTTGAGATTAGCGGAGGGATCAATGTTGTAGACACTGTTGAATTGTGACTTGATTTGGCGGGAATTGTAGGATCGATTCGTTAGTGTAGGATCGAATATGTGCCTTGCACAACTCATAATTATGAGATTATAACAATTAGCTAACATACTAGCAAATACTTAGCAATATGTTAACGGATATTCCAATACAAGATCATAAGGACCTCAACCCTTCTTCAGTCAATCAAAATTGATTAACAACTAGAATCGTGAAAATTCTTCGAAGAACAAGCGTGGCCTAAAAATTATCTTTATTTACAAATATTAGAAAAATATTGATACAGCTGGTACAAAATAAATCTGTTAACGACCAACTAAACGTGAATCACACAACGGAAACGACTGGTCCCACGAGACAACTGAATGTAGAGCACAAAGTAATCGCAATCCATGAATGAACGGACGGAGGAAGCGACCAAGTGAAACTTCCGCAGGCAAATTGAAGAACCGCGCCTTCGTCTTGTCCGCATTCTTTTCTCACGCTGGGAAAATTGAAAAATCTGCTACGAGATGGATTTGAAAACGATTCATTTCACAAATACATCGTTTCTGAGTGAAGATGTTTATACTGTATAGACATTACCAATTATTTATTGTTACTAAGAGAGCTATGTATATACATAAACGAAATAAAACGTAATAGATGAGTGAACGAAGTGAACGAATCTATGTATCGTGTATAGCGGAGTCGGAGAAAAGTTGTCCGCTTGTCTGTCTGTCTATCTGTGTGTGTGTTCGCACCAAAAACTCAAGAACCGTCGCACTTATAGCGTTCAAATTTTGCACAAATAATTATGACACCAGTGGGAAGACCTCATTAAAATTCTAGACGATTCCGCTCAGTAGTAATTATAAAACCCTTAAAAAACATTTTTGAATTTGTCCCATAAGAATAACATTAGGAGCTACCTTCTTCTTCTTTTTATTTGTTTACGTTTTGCGACCAACAATTTTGTTGTCTACTTAAGACAGAGAGAACGACATTTACTCTAAGCTCTTTCATTCATGGAGTAAACAGTTTGGCGTCTATGAATATATATCATTATAATTTCACAGGTTTCAGAATAATGTTGTTTAAGTTAATTAAATTTCACAACTTTCTGAATAATAAATTGAACTTTACAATATTAATCGGCAGTTATATACCGTTTATGTTCAGTATTAAAATTCACCTTTAAACTAAAAATATATATGTATATTTAGAACAAAGCAGCTTTTTACATTATTCAATTTAATGTTGGCATTGAATATTAAATATTCAAAGATGTTAGTACTGTAATACTAAATTGCTATGCGAAGAGGCGGGGGGGCAACAGGTCCACGACGTAGAGAGTGTTAAAGGAAGCGGAAAGGTGAGCAGTGCGGAGTGTGGAAATACTTTGTGACTGTTAAATTAATATATCTGTAAAACTTAAATGCTATGGAAAGAGAGGGAAACAGGTCTACGATGTAGGAAGTAGTAGTGAAGGAAGTAGTCGAGGCGAACGCTTCGGAGTGTGGAAAGCCTTTGTGACAGTTATAATAATGTATATCTACAATTCTAAAAACCTTTGGGAAGGGAGAGAAACAGGTCCACGACGTAGGAGGTGGTTAAGGAAATAGTCGAGGCGACCATTCCGGAGCGTGGGAACCCTTTGTGACAGTTAGAATAATGTATCTGCATTTCTAAAAATGCTATGGGAAGGGAGGGAAATAGGTCCACGACGTAGGAAGTGGTGAAGGAAGTAGTCAAGGCGAGCAGTCCGGAGTGTGGGAACCCTTTGTGACAGTTAGATTAATGTATCTGCAATTATAAAATGCTAAAGGAAGGTAGGGAAACATGTCCACGACGTAAGAAGTGGTGAAGGAAGTAGTCAAGGCGAGCAGTCCGGGGGTGGGAAACCGTTGTGACGGTTAGATTAATGGATCTGTAATAAAAAAATGCTGAAGGAAGGGAGGGAAACAGGTCCACGACGTAGGAAGTGGCGAAGGAAGTAGTCAAGGCGAGCAGTCCGGAGTGAGGGAACCCTTTGTGACAGTTAGATTAATGTATCTGCAATAGTAAAAATGCTAAAGGAAGGGAGGGAAACAGGTACACGACGTAGGAAGTGGTGAAGGAAGTAGTCAAGGCGAACAGTCCGGAGGGTGGAAACCCGTTGTGACAGTTCGATTAATGGATCTGTAATAAAAAAATGCTAAAGGAAGGGAGGGAAACAGGTCCACGACGTAGGAAGTGGTGAAGGAAGTAGTCAAGGCGAGCAGTCCGGAGTGTGGGAACTCTTTGTGACAGTTAGATTAATTTATCTGCCATAATAAAATGCTAAAGGAAGGGAGGGAAACAGGTCCACGACGTAGGAAGTGGTGAAGGAAGTAGTCAAGGCGATCAGTCCGGAGTGTGGAAACCCTTTGTGACAGTTAGATTAATGTATGTGGAATAATAAAATGCTAAAGGAAGGGAGGGAAACAGGTCTACGACGTAGGAAGTGGTGAAGGAAGTAGTCAAGGCGAGCAGTCCGGAGTGTGGGAACCCTTTGTGACAGTTAGATTAACGTATCTGCAATAATAAAATGCTAAAGGAAGGGAGGGAAACAGGTCCACGACGTAGGAAGTGGCGAAGGAAGTAGTCAAGGCGAGCAGTCCGGAGTGAGGGAACCCTTTGTGACAGTTAGATTAATGTATCTGCAATAGTAAAAATGCTAAAGGAAGGGAGGGAAACAAGTACACGACGTAGGAAGTGGCGAAGGAAGTATCCAAAAGGCGAGCAGTCCGGAGGGTGGAAACCCGTTGTGACAGTTCGATTAATGGATTTGTAATAAAAAAATGCTAAAGGAAGGGAGGGAAACAGGTCCACGACGTAAGAAGTGGTGAAGGAAGTATTCAAGGCGAGCAGTCCGGAGTGTGGGAACCCGTTGTGACAGTTAGATTAATGGATCTGCAATAAAAAAATGCTAAAGCAAGTGAGGGAAACAGATCCACGACGTAGGAAGTGGTGATGGAAGTACTGTAGTTGAGTGTGGGGACCCTTTGTGACAGTTGAGTTAATGTACCTGCAATACTAAAATGCCATAGGAAGGGAGGGAAACATGTTTACGACGTAGGAAGTGGTGATTGAAGTAGTTGAGGCGAGCAGTCTGGAGTGTGGGGACCCTTTGTGACAGTTAGGTTAATGTACCTGCAATACTAAAATGCCATAGGAAGGGAGGGAAACATGTTTACAACGTATG